ACTTGCATGCACAGTATTCTACTTAGATTACATTTTGGCGTTACCAAAGGAAACTGAAACAGCTGGTGAGATAATTGCTCAAGTTATGAAATCTTTGAATAAGTCCAACAATAAGAAGCACACTTTCACTTTCCATGGCATTCCAGCATGTGTCTGAAGGTTAGAAAAAAGTACAGGACTTTTTTATCATTCATATTACACTCCCTCAAAAAATTTCCTGAGAATAAATTAGAGAAAATTAATCTGCTAATTCTTGGACTAGTTTCAAAATTTTCATTTCCAAGTGTCTCAAATGCAGAATTTAAAAAAATATTCGAACTCTACCAAAGAAGGATTCAAAAAGATATCCAAAGCAATCATATGATTCTTGTTTCTTGTGTAATCCTGCCGTTGCCTGAGACCAGAGAAGCAGATTTCTAGCCCTAGCTGTCCTAGCTGAAATGATGATGATTCTTCCTTTTGACCTTCTTGGAATGTCCACTTGAAATTCGGTATTTTGAGGACAATACTGTACTACAAAATGTGTAAGTCTTTCTCTGAAAATTATCCTTGGATCTCAAATTTTTAGCCATCCCACCTCCTGCCTTTTAGAAAAGGTGCAAAGGCTGATTATGATGGTACATATTAAACTACTGTTATATCAGGACTGTGCTATGCGTCCCTGTGTAAGACGCTCACCACAATTCGTCAAAAGAAATTGAAAAAAGTATCCCTAAACTTGGGAATGGAAATGAGCCGTTCTCCATTCTTGAAGGGTGACAGGCTTCCTTGAATAATACCATACTTTGGCTTGAAAAACTGTCACCAATATTCGAAATATGGCTAAGGTCCAAAAATATGTTGACACTTTCTTTAAAGGCTGAATTGCATCATTGGTCTACTTTGGGTATATAATCTCATATTTGAAAGTGGTTGGAAAACCAATGAAATAAAACCATTTATAAAATATTTCTGGGCTGAAAATACTTGGAAATGATCTTTGTAGTACCATTTATTAAAATATTTGTGAATACTTGTAGCCTAAGTACTACATTAAAGGTACCGTTGAGCCTCTGTAAGTCAAATACCTCCCTAACTCAAATTTTTTCAACTCCCCATCTGAATTTCCTTATAAACAATGCATTAAAAACCACCCTAACTTGAAGTCATTTTCTCTCAACCTCTGTAAATCAAATTTGCCGAGTCCTTTTGGTTACTACTTCCTTGAAATATGAAAAAATCAATGAAAAAAAATAATGTCATGCATCTTGAAAAAAAGCAAAAGACTAATTAAACTGTGTCCAAGTTCAGGAAGCTGTAAACTCATTGAGCAGCACGTTTAGGCCCAGAATATCCTAATTTACAATTTCCTACAATTTTTTTTACTTATCCTTGTTCCAAAAATGATTTTTTCATTGACTCAAAATCTCCAAGAATTAAACCATCCCTTAGTTGAATTTTTCTGCGTATCCCTAAAAATGTGACTTAGAGAGGTTCAACTTGTATTTAAGAATGGTCTGAAGATCAGGATTCAATTATACTAGAACATCGAGCTAAATAGAGAGACAAAAAATGTGAAAATGTATATCTGAAACTTTGTCAAAAAACCGATCAAATGAACATGACATTGATATCAGCAGCTAGGGAAAGAAATGGAAATGGATATCCATATGGATAGATGGAGATGAACAGAGGCAAAGTCTTATCAAAATTATTAATGAAAAGTTAGGTGAATCTTCATCATGAATTTTTACGAATTTAGAAGTTTTATGAAGCACTTTTTTTTTAAATATATGATAGGTGAGTGTAATAAGAATCTCGCGGCCGGGTTTTCCTTTAACTTAGTTTCATTAAACGCCTATTCTTTAATCACAAGACCCTCGTTGAAATGAATTTCAACTGTTTGCCATTTTTTCAAGGACAATTTAAAGAGGAAATAGACGGGGTCAGCCACTGTATAAAAGACTCGAGCACACTCTTTATTGAATATACAGGTCATGGTTTCAAAATGTTGTCCGCTTGACATGGACAGTAATACAAGCAAGGTGAGCATATTTTACAAAACTCTTTCAGCTTTGAGAATAATCTTTTTTAACCCGGCCTCTCTAGGCCAAAAATTGAATATATAAATGAACTGGAATTAAACCGTTCTTCTTGCCTGAGGCTCACGTCCACATATTAGTTGACACGCCTGTCTGTTTTATTGATTGTAATGGAACCCAAATTGGTTCTGAATTACTCATGGACTCATCAATAATACTGCAATAATAAAAGTTCAAGGTAAAAATAAAAGGTTACGGGAAAAGTTTCATTATGACCCACTGATGACAGCAAATAAACACTTAGTTTACTTCACCACATAAATATTTTTCTACCAATCTTTATGAAAAGTCGTTCTGAAAACTATTTGTCAACTTCCTGCATATTGAAAAATATTTCCGACCATTCGAGGGTTTCCGAAGCATTGCATAAACCTTATTCAGCCATCTGGATGAATGTTGTACCATTTACTTTTTAACTTATTCTTCACTTCTCTGTGAAGTTTACACTGGCAACGAATAAGTGAAATAATGTACGGTTTATTTCGTTTGTGTGTAATGCAGCGTTTAAATCATACTGAGCGGCTGTTATTCGGCCGAATGTTTTTCATAGAATGCTTGAAAAATCGGAATTCCGTCTACAGACGAAGGTAAAAAATTATGGAATCATATCCCATAAACGATGAAGCATAATGAACCAAAAGCCTGTGCCAGTCTTCTCACGACAGAAGCATTGTAAAATCCTTGCGATCACAACAGGTCTTAATGCTCACGATATTTGATGGTCGATTGAAATTTTTAGGATTATTTGTTGATTGCAGAGAGATGACCTCCACGTTGTTCATGAGGCAGCCTTTCACGAACTTGATCTGACGCATCGATCTGACATGTCTAAAAACAACTTGACAAACTGATGAAAATAAACTCCGACCTCTTCTTACCAAAGCTATTGCAAGTGTAATATGGAAATTTCCCATCCATGCAGGATGCAGCAGACATTGTATTCATTTATGACGCATAAGTATTCATAAATTTAGACGTTAAATTTTACAGTACACTGTACATTATAAATGTAAATAATTTGCGCTTTCAGAACATATGCAGTGGCCAAGAAGGGCCACTTATCAGTCTTCACTATACAGGATGACAATACAGTCTAACGCATCAAAATTCGAGCGTTATACTATAAGATACACAGTGCTACAGATAGTATACATCTATACAAGCTGTACGGGTACTGTATTTTGGTTTCAACTAGAAGCAGGATTTAAGGGAGCATCTAGCTGTCCAAAGATAAATATTTCACATTTACTTTTCTTGGTATACCTAGATGTCGGAATTTACGCTGAACACACGTTTTATACCCACGGCCCCGCTTGATTCTTCCCGTGCGTACGCCATAAGCATTTTGTATTTTTTCTTCAAATAACGAAATATTTACAGCAAGTTTACAAAAGATGAAAAATACATTCCTAGAAACGGCTTTCAAAAGTGATAGCCACTTCGAGAAAATCCTTGACCAATAACTTCATCTAGCTGTCAATCGGATTTCAATATATATATACTGTTTATATATAACTTTTAATTGCTGCAGTGTCAATGGGGGATCTTACTTGCGGTTGGATTTTTCATAACTGTACCGCCTGTAAGAAGAAATCCCATCGCAGAAACCAATTGGTTTCTTTTTACATTTGTAATTGTACACTTGAGCACGCATTCACCGCACAACAATATAAGTTTGTATGCTCGTATACACAGTATATTTGCCAAGAGTTCACCAAAACGTGATTATAACACACCCTTCACGCATCAAAACTACCACTCTACCCGGCCAGATATATGAAATAAGTAAAAGTGTTGATAACTTTGACTTCAATGTTCAAGCATTCAAAATTGTGAAAAACACGACCTAGAATAATAATTCTGTTTACTGTACTGTATACAGTATGTGTACTTGCGTATATGTATTTCTCTCTCATTTCTCATCACCAAGCCTGATGTCTTTTCCTCTTTATTACAGCAAAAATGCAGTGATTATTTCTCGTATTTTACGTATACTGAATGCCTAAAATTTATGGTTATCAACTGACATGTTCCGCGACAAACAACTGTAAATAATCTATTTGTTTAGCACCTGAATCGCGGTTTTTGTGAAGAGTGGCACCCCTTAAACTCTACCGAACCAAAGAGGAGAACTTTAGACACTCATAAATAGGTGTCGCTAAACAAAAGTGCGTCATTAGGTTTTGCACGTGTCTTGGACTCGTTCCAAGTCCTGTAATGGTGGGAAGCGGTTCGACTTCCGGATTGTTGCGTTCGAAGTCGTGGCTTACCTTAGACATGCATTTTCGTACGGAAGTACTGAATTGAACAGCGGGACTCCAGTTTATGCAATAAAATCTTAGCACATACGATTTTGAGTGGTTTTTGCTTATCTCTGAAATCACAATGCAACAAGTGCTGCATTTATGCACACATGAGTAACAGCATTCATCTGGAAACTTGATAGGAAATCCTTGAATTCCAGTGACTTCGGCACACATTTTTTTCAATGGTATTTTCGCAAAAAGTCCCTTCAATAGCTGTCCGGAACTTAGTCAACTTACGTACTAATAAATAATTACATTAATTATATGTCTTTCTAACCTGTATGCGAAAGGAAAATGCACTGCTCTTCGTGAATCAAACAATTTCAGACTCATCACAGGAGTTTCCCATGGGATAATTTTGCAAGAATTCGTGATATTCGAGAGAGGTCGAATACACACTATCGTCGAACTCTATAAGACAAGATCATCGCAATTCCCCCTGTATGAGCAATTAACCTTATGATCGCATTGCATTCAAGCGTGGACAATGAAAGAAATTACGAGGATTCAGCTCATTGACTGGACGCGCGCATTGAAACTGAAGATCTTGACCAAAGGAGCCTAGACATACTTTTCGTTGAGCAAGGCTGGAATCATGAAATGGAAATAGGCGTTCACCACGAATCAAAAACATTCGTTTACTTCTTCCAAAACGAACGGATTCCAAACGAACAACAAATCACGAGTCGGACATTTCATCGTCGTCGTCGTCATCAACGCTCTCATCAGATTCGTCACCGATACTCCCATCAGAATCTTCGCTGTCGTCTGACCGCGCCTTCTTCTTCTTCATCGAGTGCTTGCCACGGTTACCATTCATTTTAGCATTTGACGGTCTTTCTTCGTCTTCTTCTTCCGAGGATGAGAACTCGAAGTCAGAAGCATCCAATTCTTCCACAACGTCTTCTCCATTTTGCGATACTGGTTTCACTTTCTGCTTTTTGACTTGTACATCGTCGGTTTCCAGTTCGCCCCGGCCGCTCTTATTTTTCCTTGAAAAATAAATAAATGAATAAGTAAACTAACCATTAAAATCAATCTCGACTAGCAATTAACACATTTTGGAGAATAAAAACCAAGGTTTCTTTAATTTAATGCGTTTTCCTGGTTCTAGTCTTCGATGGGAGAAGGCAAATTGTCGCAATTCTAAACACACAACATTGGACTATTCATGAACAGAAAGTGCACACCATTACAGTGGAACAAAATCTGGCTAACCATTCACACTTATATTTTTTTCAACAACAATGTCGAAAACAAATTTTTGGTGCTGTTTACGTTGGTATGTTGAATATGAAGGTCGCTTTTATACGTAAATTGGGAGGCAAGAAGTTGCCCAAGTCATGGAAGAGATTGTGCATAAAACTCAAAACATGCACGAAGACCTATTTCACGTTTTCCACCATCCCCTTTACGGTCCTTTCAAACTGGGGCATCCGAAGACCTTCATTGCAAGATACTGTACTGACGAACATGCAGCCACAATTGCATGAGAAAAGGAATATTCTAGAAATATACACATGCAGTCTAGATCACCTTTTTCTTGATGCGTTCTCCTCGTCACTGTCCATAAACAGCTCCTTCAATTCTTTTCTATCTTTTTTCCTCTGCTTCTCCATTCGTTCCTCTTCAGCTTTTTCCTTCTTCGCTTGCGCTTCGTATTTTCGCTTATCCTGGAATAAGTTGGTAAAAATTTTGAAAACATTTTCATAAAACCTTATTTAATATTTTTACCTTCACTGATTCCACCGAAACCTCGTCTTGATGTAATAAGACTTCTTTCCGTTCCTCTTCGGATTTCCAGTTCATGTAGAATTGAAGAAACGGAGCTTTCTTTTCCTGCTCCAGCCGGATTTCAAAATCTTTCAAGAGAAACGCACGTTACAGAATTTTTCTTTCAGAAAAACGCAGTTCCTTCAACCTACTCGTGATCGAGCTCATGTCATCCAAAGTCATCTTCTGTTTTGCACGTTGCTCTTGAATATATCGGGAATTCTCCAGAACTTTATCCAACAGAAGTTTCACCTTTCGACAATAGTTGATAACTTTAACGGATTTCAGGAAGCTTCGCATCTGAAACAAGAAGAACGAAATACTGTAATTCGAAAACTTCACCTCGAAGAACATCCATGAGACAAGGAAACTGATTCAAGGTATTACCTGCACAACAGCGGGAAAAGCGAGTTCCGGAAAAGAAACCGAATAAAAATTCGAATGGAAGCTTTCCACGAGTGCTCCGAAGGCTCCCGCAAAACTTGAATCTTGGAACGCTCTGGTTTCTGTCTGTCCAGCAGAAACTTTCAACATCCGCGAGAAGTCGAAAAACGTATTTCCTCCAACCGTGCCTTTCTTCTTCTTCACACGTAGGCCGACTTTGTTCAACGCATCAAGCGCAAAAGGTAGCGTCGGGATGTACGTTTTCGTTCTTCTTCCCAATTCCACCAAAATTTTTATGCAGAACAGTTTGGCGGGGAATAACCTAGCAGCTTCCGTCAAAGAGATTGTACCGATTGTCACCTGTCACTCAAAAATAAAAAAATCGTACAAAGAAACAAAACAAAAACTTCAGACGTGAAAATAAATATCGCTGGACAACTAGCTCATGAATGAATCAGGACGTAAATCAGTAACCCATAAATATGAGTCATTTCACACTATTTCCACATTACCGACGTAGGTTTTCTCGGCCATCACGAACTGCATGCATGGCTATCGTATAAATTTTGCAGACAAGTCGAAGTCAGATTTTTGATTGTTTGCCTCACCTTAGGTTAAGTTCAGCTGATTTAATCCATGTCCGTGATTTCAATGACCTGATACTAACAAATGCGAAACCAAGAATTAAATTTGCTATAACAGTTTAGTTCATGAGGAAACGAAGTTATGAATTAAATTTGAGCCCCGTATAATCAGCATTTCTCATTTCAGAAGGCGGGAACTAGTGTTCTGATAAATTAAACGATTGCGTTCGTAAGCTGAAGTTCTACCATTACATTGGCACTCTACACTATTTGCTCACCTGAGTCAAAGGATAAATCAATGGCGAGAGAACATCAGACGGATGAGTTACACTCAGGACATGTCCCCAGAAGTCGAGACAATGCAAGTATTGCCAGTTGAAAACCAATTCCGAAGCATTCTGCTCGAAGGAAAAAAAAATTGATGAAACGTCCTGTGCTTCAACGATTAGCATTTTATATCGGCGACTAACCTTTGTCGACAAGGTAGTTGCATTTCGCAAATGAATCGCAAGCTGACGAATGTAAACAAAACCATGACGATACGCAAGAGCTTCATCGAGCGTATACATCTCTGCCATCGATCGTTTCATAAAACTGATCCACTTAGCAGACCCTGCCCTCGATGCGAACTTGCTGTTTCTCACGAAATGCTTGTACATGGTCTGACGAGGGAAATAAAATGTTTTACATCACGGACATAAAATATTAACAAGATTTAAAAATCAAGCGCAGAGATGATACTACAGGGTACGTTCAGTTGGAATTATGCAATAATCATTTTCCCTCACGTAAAGATACGAAACCGCTCGGTTCATAGTGCAAGATCATTTTTCCTAGATTCGTTCAATATTTCTTCTAAAAATTGGTCGATTCTTTTCAAGACTATCCAATACAGTATTTTTCTGAGACACAACTGCAGAATGTGTTCGTCATTTTTCAAGTCACTCAGCAGCACCCAGGCCTCGCAGTTAACTACAAAAATCCCTATTATCAAGTCTAGACAAAGCACGAGAAGAGATTTGGTACAAGGATTGCTACCTTCTCATTTTCACGGCATCAGAAAAATTGGTTAGAATATTCTTTAATGAGCGGGATGAACCAAGACGGCCCTTCCACTTGAACAGAAAACCTGAAAATACCAGGACTGAGGAATGTTATTTTTATTTTGCGACAGTTCATTTTGCGCGGAAACTAGACATATCTCCGAAATGAAACCGTTGTACTTACCTTCATGGTTTTATCAAGCAGCCCAGAGGTTTCGTTCCGCACAATACGAAGAATGGACATGAAGGCAAGCAAACGAGCTGTATCAGACGGAGATGACGACCAATGCCCAATCAAAGATTTCAAGTAAGACTGTGTCAGCGATCGCTTCTTCGACGCCAACAAATACGGAACCAGTTGGTGCACGTGTTTCAACATGGAAACAAGAGCTCCGGAATCGCCGAGACACTCGAGCATACGAAAAATGGCAACGCAGTACCGCCGCACTGACGCATCTGCTCGCTTCCATGTTCTCGACGCTACAACGTGGTGCATTTTGACAGTGTGCTTCGCATCGGTCGACAGCTTTAAAAATCGATTGAGCGCAGGAAGCAACTCCAAGAGGCAAAGTTGGATTACGGCGTTGAACACGGCGTCGCCATGAATGACAAACCGAGAGGAAAACGGCTTCTTTTCAGATTCTTTCTTCTTCAGGTCCTTCTGAGCTTTCTTCGGAAGATTTGCTACAGCAGTGTTGGATGCGCTGTGAGCAGCCGCCTCGAAAGCGTTCACCACGTCGGCGATCGTCGGCAAAAGCCTAGATATAAACAACTTCTTTAAATTTTTTCAGCAAGAATGTTCCTTACGATGCAATCCAAACACTTATACCGAACTTTTCGAAGACAAAAATTTAATACTTGAAAGAATACTGAGAACAGTAGACTAAGCCGCCTACAGAGCTCCAGTCTTTTTGATAGGGTGTTCCAAAAACTACTGCGCTGGGGAGAGTCAAATTTCAGACAGCATTCAATTTCATAGGTAACGAACACAGAAGTATATCGAAACTGATGAATAAACTAAACTAGTGGAAAAAAGAATTGTTGTAAGAAAGAATCATGACTGATGAAAATGTTACCTTATTACTATCTGACGATCAAATTCCACCAGGAACTTTTCCAAACTACAGGAGGAACACAAAGACCTATGGAACTTGAAATTATTGAGCAAAATTTAATCGTGACTGGGACTGCAAGTAATTGTTCAGACGCCAAACCATTTTTCGATACAATGGCGGATAGTGTCGATGGTGTCTTTTTCGACCTCCAATTAAAATTACTGAAAAAAAAAAACCGCTCAGAAGTCCTGTGGCATATGCACAAGTTAATAAAAGGAATTCAAAGATTCATGCGAGTAAAAATGATCTTGATTTAAAAAATCTTCCGCATGTCTTCCAACTTACTTCTTCGCCGATTCCGTGCGCAGAAGAGTAGTCCATGTTGATAACAATTTCAGAGTGATTTTCACTTTATTTGCGCCGTCGTCTTCATGTTCCCCCTCACCTTCGAAGTCTTCCTCGTCACTAGCTACCTGAAATAATACAGCAACGAATTTGAAATCCATCCAGCAAGAAGATATTGTTCAGAGAAGCTTTTAAATCATCGCACGTCAACGACTACTAACTTCAAGTTCCGCAGGAGGTTTATGAACAGTTCCATAATCTTCATCCGATTCCGAACTGACGTCAGATTCTTCCCCTAGTTCCTCGTCAAAATCGTCGACTACAAAACAGAGAAATGTAAATCCTGCGAGTAGTGTAGGAATTTTCTGGTTGCCCACCTTTTCCTTTTTTATGGGCTTGCTTCTTTTTCGTGGATTTCCCCACAGATGCTTTCTTCGAAACTTTCATCTTGGAATTGATAGTCTGAAAATTCATTACTGCAATATTAAAGAATGAGAAAGCCAAAAAAATAAAATGAAAGTTCTATGCAACACTTCATTTCAAGAAAGATTTATGACTTCACTAAAGAAACAACAATTCAATCACTACGAAGAGCGAAGCAGATGAACAAGAAAACCGTTCCTCCGACATATTGCACTCTTCAACACCTCCAGAGGTCTTCAGACCGCGCTGCTTCACAAATTTAACTCTGCAAAGACAGAACAAGCGCAACGCTGTAGAACTGATCCGATCTTACCGAACAGCTAACACACAATAACACATGGGAGGGATATAAAATGAATGAAAGGCGTGCACTCCACCTGGTATGATTAACTTCCGACCGACGCATTTCTCTAACGATGTTCAGTCTAGAGCCCTTAGAAATGAGGTTCATGCATTAGTATCACAACCCAGGGAAATCAGGTTATCAATAGGAGTAGGAAAGCCCAAACTAGAACAGTGCGTTCAACATAAATGAACTCACTGGAAAAAACCCACGCGACACGAACTGATTTTCTGAGAATAGCTACGACTGAAAAAATTAAATTCTCGCAAATGGTTGATCAGGTTAAAGATTCGGATCACCCAAAAGGAATGCACTTGGAAAAACTTACTCTCTTGAGGCTTCCCATCTTTCCACAGAGTTACTTTCAACGCTGACGTTTCTCGCTTCGCAGCTTCTGCTCGAGCTTCCGGTTTCAGGGCACGACGAACGGTTTTTGCGGCAATGGCCGAATAGCGGATGTAGCTACATTTTAAAAACAGAGACAACAATAAATAATCCCATAATCGAGACTCATGAAAACACCCGACATTGAAATTTAGCACACCGAATTATTCAAAATCTTACTTCAAACCAGCTGTTCTCCAGGCAGTCATCTTGACGTTTAGCGAAGTTTTCGGTAAAAATGAATCCACACACACACTTTTCCTGGAAAATGCGAAAAATGTATAAATAAAAACATTGGCACATCACGACGTGTACAGGGGATTGCAGTAAGACAAATCCCAATAGGGCTCAGTGCACACAGTGGCCTCAAAATGTGTATATTCCGAACATCGCGTGGAAGGAATTCAGAGGGTGCAAACAAAGAACAAGACAAACTTCCATAAGTCAAAGAGAAAAAAAAAACTTCTGAATAAATTTTCGTCCGTTTCCAGTCAGAACAATGAGGAACCGCGGGAAAAGCTCTAACGTCCGGTAATTGAAGGGATATTTTTTCGTTTGTTAACTTACAACAAAAAACATGTCCATAAATAAGCAACACCTGGTTTCGGTATGCCCGTAAGTAAGATTTGACTATCATCGTTTCGTCCTCCCAACAAAGCTACTTGACAACTTACTCAGTCGTGGTGTTCTCTCACCACAAATGAAAATCATGCCATGTTAGTGAACCGATATCGTTCGAACATCATGAAACAAGCTGAACACAAAAACTGAATACGTACGCCCAAATATTCCTTTCACACCTCTTCGCAAAGATGACTAGCGAAAGTTAAAAAGGAGTTCCAATAACTCTTGGTACGAAATGAACGCAGAACAGGTAAGCCATGGTAAAACGAAAAAAAAAAAAAAAAAAAAAAAAACCCAAGAAAAAAAACCATAAAAAAAAAAAAAAAAAAAAAAAAAAAAAAAACTACCCAGGAATACTGACCATTGCGGGGGAAAAAACCGTGACTAAATTTCCCGCAAACGAAGAGACGATAACCGTTTAAAACTCAAATGTTCTCATCGGGACTCTTCGGCCCACCCCGGTGAGTTCGACTTCATTAAAGCTCGCGAGCGAGAATACAAGCACAGATGCGAAACGAATTTTTCTGGCCACTCAATCCGAGGTATTCCTCAAACTTGTACAAATCTCCAGCAGGATGGAAATCAATTATCGCGCACAACTCAGTTGCAGTTATTTACAAAATATGGACTAAGAGGAAACGCTTGAATAAAAACTGCATCGACTAGAAAAATTCTTTGATTCGCCGCAGCGAAACCACCGTATCATGACCCACGCAAAATTTAGTCACATCTCAAATCTCTCATCTTTTCCTGAGAAGACACAGACACGGCCGCTGAATGCAGGCAAACGTCGGAGGCACTTCGTACTCAGGACGACGGCTGAAAATCTGCGAAAACAGGGACAATCGGAGAAAACCGCAAGGCACGATAACGATTCTATTCGTCAGTGATGTGAGGCAAACCCGCCGATCAGTCAATGCTTCGCTTTCCGTTCCCCGTATCAGGCACAGGTTCGGTTCCAGCAAGCTTCTGCTTCACTTTGTTGAGATAAGAAGTCATGTACTTCTGCGTCGACATCAACGAGGATTGAATCGCAGATACACCGAAGCCGTGCGTTAATCGGTTATAATTTTCCAAAGGGACTTGAAGAAACTGAGGAAGAATAATAGGAGGACTGGAGTTAACGAGCTTCGAGCAATCCTTGTTGAGCGTGTCGAGAAGCTGTGCGACAACGCGGATGGCACCGACGAGAAGATCGACTTGTTTCACTAACTCTTCATGGGACGGTTTGGTTTTCATTAATTCTTCGAAATGGTACTGCGCTAATGGTCCCCCAGGAAAGTCGGATTCGCAAACTATGCCGAAATCTCTGGCAAGAACAACTGCTTCGCCTTCCACCAACGCTGTCAATAGGGTGGGATTGGAAGCGCGTCTCCAACCATTTGGCACTTCCATCCCAACCTGACTCAGCTTATTTCTCAAATCTTTGCCAGCGTTACGAGCTTTCGCTCGACGTAGCATCGATCCTAGAAGCGAAACATTTAGGCACTCCGGATGTTCTAATCTTCTCTTCACCTCCCCAACGGTCACTTTGTACTTCGGGCTGTTACTCAGGAGGGATAGGCGACCGGGAACAAGAGCGAATACCGTGTTGAGATCTACGTCAGGATTGACAACTATCTCTTGCCCCATTCCATCATTAGAACACGGTGAACCCCCTCCATTAGTGTAAGCCCCGTTCATGTCATCATCATCTTCGTCATCGTCGTCATCCATGCCTTCCTCGGCAACAAAATCATCCTTTGGCTCTTTTTTGCAGGGACTAGGAACAGAACTTTCCGGAGAAAGACTGCTGGGACCAGGAGTATCGCCATAAACACGGGCGAATTTCGGATTTGAATGAAGAATGGCTTCCAACTTTCGCTTCTTGGCTATTGACTGCTCAAAACCTTTTCCATCTGCGCGAGTTCCTCTTCTGACAGCAGGAGAGGAGAGGACGGAGCGTAGAATACAATTCTGCCGACTATTCGTCTCTTCCGCATTCAGGGAGGGTGAAGTTGAAGGCAAGTCGCTGTCTGATGGGGAATGCCGGCCGATGTCGACACCATTGGCTTTCAAATCATCGCTGTCAGTCATTTCATCCCAACGTTGCTTCGCCTGGCCCTGTATCAAAATGTTATCAAGCGTGTTTCACAAAATACACCTCTATTTCAAAACCAAAGCTCTTACCTCGCATGTTCTACGCATTTCGTTTCAACTCGTATCACACCACGAAGACCCGACCAGCAATTCACCCTGCATGTCGTGAAAAAAAGGTACGGTAGGAAATGCTCAATAATCGGCCGAAGTACAGCCTTCACACTGAAAATTTGAAGAACTACGATCCCGCGGACGCTGGACGACTACTGTGTAGAACTTCACTTTCCTGTCGAAATCCGTGCAGTACAGAGAATCGCCATTTGTGGAATTTATGGTTTTTCCGGCGTAAGAGCGTATCATAGCTACGAGGTTTAACGGAGCTGGGTGTTCAGAAATTCGTAACAAACGGTACATAGCTGATGCATACAGTAAAAGAAAGGGAAAGAGATTTTGCTGATGCAGGTAATACATGGGGAAATTCAAATACTGTACAATGAAGTGCAGCTACTGCAGTACAGTACTCCAATCAACAAACTATTTCAATCTGGAGACGCAGCACTTTTCAAGAAAGTAATGTACAGTACAAGATATTGTATACAGCAGTGCGTATCCAAAATTATCAATTGATGGAATATCACATGACGCATTTGAGAGAATTTGCATAGACGCATGAAACTTCATACCTGCAGTTTATGTTTATGAACTTGAGAACTCCTTATCGGCATACGTATTGAGCAGTATATGAAGATGCAGTTTATTATATACTGTACAGTAAATTTCATATATCACCCGATATTTCAAACAATGTTAATTCAAGAAATTATTTCATAGGCGAATCACTCATTTATTCTGTTCACTTTTATTTCGGAAACATAGGAAATATAAAATAGCACCGTACAGTATATGCAAGAGTAGCAAGACAATCAATTTAAAATGCTATTCTTCGAGCTGATTTTTGTTTAATTGCAGCATATATATATGGTAGCTATAAGAGTATTCTTTTCTTAACGAAGATGAAGATGTTCTTTGCACAAAATCATAATCGGATGTAAGTCATACTTGATCCGCAGTGTTCTTACCTTTTTCATTAAATTCAANTACTGTACAGTAAATTTCATATATCACCCGATATTTCAAACAATGTTAATTCAAGAAATTATTTCATAGGCGAATCACTCATTTATTCTGTTCACTTTTATTTCGGAAACATAGGAAATATAAAATAGCACCGTACAGTATATGCAAGAGTAGCAAGACAATCAATTTAAAATGCTATTCTTCGAGCTGATTTTTGTTTAATTGCAGCATATATATATGGTAGCTATAAGAGTATTCTTTTCTTAACGAAGATGAAGATGTTCTTTGCACAAAATCATAATCGGATGTAAGTCATACTTGATCCGCAGTGTTCTTACCTTTTTCATTAAATTCAATAATTGTGAAGTTCTGCTTCGTTCAATTCACGCTTGACGACGGAATCATTATACTGCATGTATATGTCGAATGCGTCGTCATCAGATCCATCGTGTTAATTACCAGCACTGTTTGGCACGTGACGTAAATCACTTTTCGTTATCAGGAAAAACCAGATGCTTTTTTAAATATTCCAACACGGTAGGAATTATATGCATAGTCACACCGTATTTTCTGCACTTCATGAAATCCAAGCTGCGCATCTGCTGTGGCTGGGCGCCGTGTTAGAAATCGTTCGAGACTTCGGTAGGAATTTGGCATGACACGCACGCAAATTACGAACGACATCTATGGAAACTTCAAAAATATGCTCAGATCTTCTTAAACATGTTTGAGTAGGTTACTCGTACGTCATAGATAAGCCTAGCGCATAAAGCTGCAGATGAATGCTGGGAATCCACCTTACGGTAAATTTCTGCTCTCGATTTAATGCATAAAGATATAGAAGTGCGGAGAACCTCGACTTGCATTTCAGCAGAAAAACTGGATCCGTCGAACCAAAATTTTTTTCTGACTGGTGTATAAACCGAATGCAAGGTACGTGCAGTTCGTAAATCGTGTAATGCACTTGATGTTCAAACAGAAATACTGTACTACGATAATTACCATCACTGCGGATTTACTATATTTTACGTACTGCATATATTGTCTACAACAAGTAAATATCCAATTCAGACCATGAATTAATCAGCTGCCGATTTTTACGACGGAAAAGATTCTTTATTTGATTTATGCAGCCTCAAGCATACTTTTGCTAATGGATGAAGACGTTTGTGTTTTAGAACTAAGAGAAATCGTTCGCTCAATCTCGCTTGCGGATTCAAGATAGAACGAACACGAAACACTAACTGAAGTAGAGGCTGCAATTCAGTACAGTATTTCAGTCATTACTTTAAAAATTGTGTCTGTGTTGTATGTACTGTAAATGTATAAGTGCAAGAGTTTTTAACGGAGTTTTCAAAGAAGAGTGCACGCAAAATTATTTTTTGTCCATGCACGCAAATTATTATTATTATTATTATTATTATTACTATTAATATTTTTCCATGCATGATCAAACGATGAGCTGGGAAAATAACGTTTGGTATTATCAAAGTCAAAGACGAACCAAGTACTGTATGTGAGAAGGGATGACAGTATACGAGTCATAAATTCCTGACATGAACTAATTTACAGTATTTTCATCTCGCTAGCGTAAAATAAAACAGGGATGAGTATCCTGTCAGTTTTATGCGCGTGGAAATGATTGCATGATTCTGTAACATAACTGCATCGTTTTATTCTACTGTACTATATATAGTGTTCACCCGAAAGTCAATTTTGGATTATTTTTTATTCTTCGCACCACCGTGAGAAGGACTGTAAAATTATGTCATGAAGAAGAAAATCAGTCAGACCCGAAATTCAAGAAGGAGTTATAAGGCCAGCAAGATTATCGGAAGTCTTTTCTCCTTTAAAATTTTCTACTACAGTATATGGCGACGATTCGATCATGAATCCGTGTCTGATTTCAACTTCGATTCTTCGAATTGAAGTATTCCCTCAAGGTATTTTTGCACATCTTCGTGGTGACAAGCTTCAAGTCATCGACGAATTCCGCTCCGCCCGTAAGATGAAGTGCTTGGTTCTTCGTTCGACCTATATATATAGAAGGAAATTGAAAAAAATTCTCACTTTGGATCAAAAACAATTTTCAAATTGATGAAGCTCCTTGCTTTCAACAAAACGGACGATATCTTCGGATTCCATGGGAGGAGAATTTTTCTTTAGTACCACGAATGCTCTCGGACGAACACGGCCTAGTCTTGGTTTAACTTGGGGCTGTTGGGGCTGAAAAACATGACTGAGCACGACTTATTGCTACAGCAGATAAAGGCTACCACTGTGGACCTTTTAGGGCTTATTAAGGAATAACTATAAAGCAATTATGAGCAGTTGAAGAGGGAGAAACAAAAAACCCGCAGCATGATATGGGATGTGTCAACCAAGAAATGAACAATGCATTTTGAGACTCACAATTTCTCCATTGTTTAAATGGATCAAGTCTTTGATCCGATCGAGAACCAGCAAACATCGATTGTCATTGTAATACCCGTAATCACCACTTTTGTACCAGCCATCATCCGTGACCACTTGGGCATACAGCTAGAATAAAGAAAAGTGACTCGAGTTTCTGCTTGTATTTTCAACTAGAATCGCAATAAAATTCTTACATCCGGTCGGTTCCGGTATCCTTGCGCGAGGAACGGTGTATGAATAAAAATCTCTCCTCTTTCATTCGGTCCTAAAAGTTGTCCATCTGTCACACTGATCACCTGCAAGGATAATCTAGGCATTATATCAGAATCTGTCAAATGTTCAATTATATCGATAAACATCATTTTGCTTGCCTTGCACTTAACAGATGGACAAAGGTATCCAACCCCGTTCTCATTGTTTGAAGCTTTTCCCAGTATGCGGGAGTTCGCTGCAAAAATGAACTCCGATGCTCCGTAAAACTGCAAATGAGGAAGAAAAGGTAATTCAGATACCATGTATAGACTATAGAGATAAAGATTCCTTGATCTTTAGAAATTATTGTATTATGAAATCTTCCGAAAAAGGTGACCAGAAGCTTAATAGTGGTTAACGCAATTCTAACTACAAAATTCCCGGGCGGAATCCCTATATCGCGTTTTTTTCTTTCGTGGTGCTTTTTCAGATAGGCTTAATTATTTTTATTATCGATAGACTAAGGTTTTTTTCATTCAGAATTTTTCAATTTGAATTTGTTCTTGACATTTCCAAATCGGTCCAATATCTAATCATGGAATATAGAAACTATATTCCAAAACAAACAAATTATTATTATTTTCTTCGGGAGTTCTGCTGTTCAGAAAACGCCATGCCGAATTCACCAGCGACGGTGTGAGTTAAACAATATTTTTGCTGAGGTTTCTTTTAAACAGCTCTTTGTGGCCTATTATTTCACAAGTTGAGCAAAATGGAAGAATAACATTACGGATAGCTTCAGAAATGAAAATTGGATGCAATAAATCGTAAACATTTTGCAAACCTGTACAGTAGGAAGGGCTAGAGATAAAGATTCCTTGATCTTTAGAAATTATTGTATTATGAAATCTTCCGAAAAAGGTGACCAGAAGCTTAATAGTGGTTAACGCAATTCTAACTACAAAATTCCCGGGCGGAATCCCTATATCGTGTTTTTTTCTTTCGTGTGCTTTTTCAGATAGGCTTAATTATTTTTATGATCGATAGACTAAGGTTTTTTCATTCAGAATTTTTCAATTTGAATTTGTTCTTGACATTTCCAAATCGGTCCAATATCTAATCATGGAATATAGAAACTATATTCCAAAACAAACAATTATTTTTTTTTCTTCGGGAGTTCTGCAGTTCAGAAAACGCCATGCCGAATTCACCATCGACGGTGTGAGTTAAACAATATTTTTGCTGAGGTTTCTTTTAAATAGCTCTTTGTGGCCTATTATTTCACAAGTTGAGCAAAATGGAAGAATAACATTACGGATAGCTTCAGAAATGAAAATTGGATGCAATAAATCGTAAACATTTTGCAAACCTGTACAGTAGGAAGGGCCAAATTGGGGAACATCTTCTCGACCTTCTCGCGGGTAGCTCTGGGAAAAACCGAAGCCCCACTAGAAATCATTCTAACGGACGATAAATCGTACTTTTTCCATTCATCTTCGTCCATATTTGCGTAGATCATGAAATCCACAGGGAACAGCGGGAGGAAACTCGGCTGTATTATACACAAAGAAACATTGAAATTCTTGTTTTACATGGTGATAAAAACGAGAAATAATTCTTCAACGCGTGATTACCTTGTATTTTTCAACTGCTTTCAAGTACATTTCTTGACGAAAGGAACTGAACGTTATGTGCGTTCCGTGTTCTATTATGGTGGAGAGTACCAAGAAAAAAGAACCGATGCCGCTGTAAAGTCCGCGATAAAGCCTGTCGCCATATTTTTGTTCCTCCGAGCAGAAACTAAAAAAAAAACACATTAATTACGCTTTAGGGTTGAAAGTGGTACCTTCAGAGTACATCAGTGCATTCAATGAGACAATGAATCTTACACGTGTGTGTTGTATGTCGACGAAAGCAGAGAATAATGGGTGTGCTCAACCGACTTCGGAGGTCCCGTAGTTCCACTGGACATGAAAACTGCGCAAACATCTTTCGGATTCAGAGACGGAATATCTGCCAGGCAGAAGAAATCGTATTATTTTGAAATTACAGTAATGCAGTTTAATCATCTCGGAAAGTATTCACCAACGACTGCGTTTTCCGAATTTTCGAGAATTTCTCGTACTGTCGGATGGCTTCCAGCGGGATGCTCGTCAAACACCAACAGCTTCGGTCTTGCCGGAAATCTTTCCGAATTGTTTTCCAAGTATCTCTCAATTTTTGGAAATGTGTTTTTATCGCAAAACACAACGGGCACGTGTTCTTCCTCGGTCAAGCATCGTTCAATTCCCCCTTAATGATCAACCAATAAATGTTTTGACGTTTTGAAAAATACGGGGGAAATCGTGATAGGTAATCGAAGCGACACTCAGAAGATTATAAGGACTGGGATATTGTGTCACGTGAGTCTCAACATTTTTGTGTACATTCTGCAAAGCTGCTGATTTTGACATCGATTATGTTGAAAGAAGAAAATGGAACAGGAAAACCCAGCCAAAAATAATGTGTGTATAAAAATGTTTCACTCAGGGCGAAAATCTGAAACACGACAGTTGCACTCTTCCCAATCAAAATTGTTAGATTTATTTTCACCAGTCTGGCAAATGAATTTTTGCACATTCAAGAAATGCCACGCGCAACCTTGAAACATACAGTAATTTTCTCTGAAATGGCATCCTTTGGAAAAAATATTGTGCTACATTTTAGCGAAATAATTGAAAGTCTCAGGTAGATAGGACTATACCCACAAAGGAAAAAGAACTGTAATAATAGGGGAAATGGCAAGAACGAGTTTAAATCTGTTTTAAATCTACAGTATGTGCTAATAGAGCTTAGGAATGGAATTATACGCGGGCTGGAAATAACTTCGAGCAAGAGTTAAGTGAGAGATGTCTAATTAATGTCACAGTTTATCGCGGATTAAATACTGTATCAGCTTATTTTGGTCCTCCGAATCATAAAGTGGAAAAATTTTAGGTGGATATTACTTATTACAGTTGAATTTCGTGAAGAAAAAAAATGTAAGGGACTGCAGATAACTTTTATACTGTATACTGTATTTTATTGTACTGTATATTGAAATGCCCATATACAATATATTCAAACTGTCAGATGTACTGACTTTGGGGCATTATACCTACCAATAGATACACGCAACAAAAAAAAAGACAACGATATGCATACTTGCTTACTGTTACTTACCTTCAGCGAAATCCAGAAGAACTTGATAAACAATGCCTCCCAAAGCCATGGCAGCAAACACAGCGACGTAATAGAAAAGGTCATTTGAACATATAACAATTACTGACCCTCGTCGTACTCCGTAACAGTCTCTCAGAATGGTTATCAAGTTGTTCACGTTGTGTAGAAATTTGGAATAAGACAATCTCTCGTCCGTCGTCGCATCAATCTAAATTTAAATACACAGTAGGAGCAACGAATTTCTAGCAGAGCAGCACTTTTTTTCTCGCCAAAAAACAGATGAACTCTCAACTTTTTTTTCTTTTGTATTGATTTCTTTTTTACTTACGAACAAAGGTTTTTCCCCATACTGTGAGATGGATTTCTTCAACAAGGTTCGCACAAAAGACCAGACGTCAGAATCTTTTGCCAATCCTGGGTCGCGCTGAGGCATAGGACTCACTAAAATTTTGCTTTCACACATCCTGCAACCTTCACTTCAGTGCCAACTGATTGGTACTACGCTCATCATCACACGCGCATTGGGTTATATTAATTGCCTTTTCGGAATATCCACACCTCAAACAAGCGTTTATCTTATCCAGCAGCGTTCACGTAAAACAAAACACGTTGCTTGACAGGATGATTCACGGTACGAGTTTGCAGCGTGTCTTACATTGCTTCGTCAATCTATCCATTATGATAAATATTAATGGACCTTTTGGAGAAAGCTCAATTCTGCCGCTGGGTGCATGGCCGAATACAATTTAATTTTTGCCAATAAAAAAAATCGCAAAATCGGTTCTTGCTTTTCAGAGAGACGGCAAATCTCCTCCTGAGAAACACATTTTTACTCTGCACCCATTTTCAAAAGAATAAAGCCGAAGCTTCGATATCACGTTTCATCAAGTACCTTCAGCATTTCTGACACACACATCTGTTAGTATACAGTGTTTGAAAATATCACGTTCTATGGGATTCGTTTTCTGCGGCGAAAAAAAAATTGAACTAGGAACGGTGTATTGATTCCATTTCCGCTTTCCATCTACAGGGGCAGGCCTGAACTAAAGATACTGTACGTTAGTTTGTTTACAGGAGCTAAACTATACTAACCAGAAAGCCTTTCAATAAGCTCAAGGCCTTCAAGCCAAGCGCAATACAACGTTTCAAGAGCTTGTCAGTAGTGTTGTTCAGACGATGTTGCAAGTCATTTACAGCAGCGCAATGATCCTTTATATAAGGCTGACGATCTTCGCGGTTAACTCCGTAACGTTCTTCTTGGAATCTTTCCCATTTTTCGAAAACTCTCAAATAACTTTATTCCTTCAGAATATGCTATTTATCCTATTCTAAAATAAATAAGATATTTGAAAGTTTTCGAAAGCGCATTCGAGAGTGTTCGAAAAATTAGTTGAGAGTTTTCTAAAATTATTTGAGAGCTTTCTAAAATCATTTGAGAGTTTTCTAAAATTATTTGATTGTTTTCAAAAATTATTTGAGAGTTTTCAAAAAATGGGAAAGATCACAAGAAGAGCGTTTCTCAGATAAATTTATCCCTTCAGAATAGGATAATTATCGTATTCTAAAATATTACATTATTTAAGAGTTTTCGAAAATTATTGAAGTTTTTGGAAAAGTATTTGAGATTTTACGAAAAATGGGAAAGATCATAAGAAGAACATCACAGAATGATTTATTTTACACTAATGCTTAAAACGTACAGTATTTTATTCTTACTCTGTGTTACACTTATGTACTGCACTATTGCGTTTCGTGTGCAAGTCACACTAGTGACTCTACACTAGTGTCTCACACTTCAGAACAAGTTTGAAACTTGACATTATTGCTTGCCAAAACATTTGGAAAATTGTTGAAGCTTGTAAAATTTGAAACCTCCATCAACTTGACAAAAACAAGTCTGAGACACCTGGGAATTGGTAAAAATCAGAGTTCACCAACCTTTTCAGATCCGTGGACTGGCAAATTCCCAAAAAATTTTTGTGGACAGGAAAAGTTTCATAAAATTTTTACTGACTTGAAATAATGCTGCTTGATAGAGTTTATGGCAGGCATATAAAAGTTTTGGCTTCTTGCAAAAATTAAGTTGAGTACCTATGAAGCAGCTATAGCTGAATGTCATCAAAATCTTAGAAAGATTTCTCAGACTGAAAAATTAAAATGATTTATTTCAGCGGGTAAAAATATTTCTGAAGTGTTATTAGGAGAAAAGCCAACTTTTATTTTTTATCAAATGATTTCAACTTCCATTGTCTTTCCAAAATTTTGGATAATGATAACAGAGTTCATTCCTACTTTTAAGAAATGTATTATGCTGAAAATTTGCCGCGGACTGGCAGAAAAACTTCTGCGGACCAGCACCAGTCCTCGGACCATGGGTTGGGGAACACTGGTTTAAATTATGCTTCAAAAAGGCATGATTGCAACCGAATGGTCATGAAGAGAAAAGCATGCTTTCAAAATAGTCAAGTTCTTCCGCAAGACCTGGATTTTGCCCCGAAGAAGGAAAAATTGCATAAAACTCAAACTCAATATATGGAAGCAGCCTTTCTGCTATAAATTTCTATGACAAGGAATCTGTGCCATTAAGTATTTTGGACAAATAAGTTGCAGTCCCTACATGTTGAGCCATTTTGTCTTCTTTGGCAGTGTTGCAAAAATATTTAGAAATCTTGCACAAAAAATCTCTAAATTGCTGAAGTGTCATGAAAATAATTATTGGTACATTTTTGTAGTTGACATGTTAACAATTCGTTTTCACTTCTAGGAAACATTTTCTTAAATGGTTGGTTTGTGCACTATGGCCAATTGTCGTGTTCTTTATTTTCATTTTAAATTAATTCTGATTTAATACAGTACTCTGCTATGAGAGTCTTGATTTAAGGTGTATGACTTGCAATTAATCTATACCTTGATCGATAAAAATGAAACCGTATACAGTACTAGTAAATAATGCAGTGCAGTATTTACAAAGATCGCATTGGAGGCAATTATATGCATCCATGAACAAGTTAATTGCCTTTTCGCAATGCATGAAATAAATCAGCACAAGCAATTGATCATATTTATTTCAACTATCATGCGCATAATATGTTCATCAATTCAAGAGGAAAACCTTTTTCAATTAATGCATCAGGAAAGTGCCTCAAAAGGCATGCAGAGGTTAGTCAGTAAAGAACTTGAGCCGTCATCGTTAATATTTTCTGGTATAACATAATATTGGTCGAGATTTATTTTCTAATGATTGGCGTGCTGTTTTCGTCTCTCGTTGTAATTATCTTGCAACAATCGTCGATAAAGTTTCCCTCCGGGATAAGACACCAACGTATCGACAAATTCTGCTCCTCCGGTTATTTGCAAATTCACGTCCTCCACACGACCTGTAGGATTGCCACAATCGGATCATCATGTATTTATAAAAAATACAAAAAATTAGATCATATTCAAGCTTACTCTTGACAAAGTCAATGATCTCGTCGGGTTTCATGTCTCCTGTGACATTTTCATTCAATACCACGAAAGCCCTCGGATGCACGGAGTTTTCATCCCCACACTCCACTCCTGTTACACCAACTTTCCTGACGCTGGGATGCTGAAGAATGATATTTTCTATTTCTGATGGGGATACCTGGATCAAAAGGAGTCGAATAACGTCAGATATAAGCTAATACACTCGGCAAAAAGTTCATCAAAAAATTGTGCTGTGATCTTGAGATATTTGCAGCTCTCGCGAGGGTTGTTGAGAAATTTGAGAAGTAAACAAAAATATCATTACGATGAAATAACATGCCCTTGAATCTACGTAGCAACTGAAGAATTCGAATCCATCAACGTCCCGTTTTTCTTCACGACTCTCAACAACAGTATCTCATTTTAATTCCTTCATACTATACTGCAGTTGAAACTTTTCTTGCCTACTCCCAAAATGAACAGCTATAATTAAATTGCATGTAACTTCTAGCTAATTTGAAGCAATTACAGTACTTAAAACGTAATAAAATATATTCCGTAAGTATATTAAAATGTTGGAATATGTCGTCGCTGAATTTGATATACTGCTTTAAAATAATTGCAAAAAAATAAAACTCACAATAGCGCCATTCCGCAATCGGATCAGGTCTTTAAGCCTGTCGACAATGTGTAAATGTTCTTTGGCGTCGTAGAAGCCGAAATCCCCTGTTTTGTACCAACCATCTGCAGTGATTGCTGCCGAAGTCAGCTTGAAAATCGAGGAAAATCAATCAAAAATTGATTATTTTGGCATGCATTGAGCTAAAATACATCGGGTCGATTGCGGTAATTCTGGATGATGAACGGAGTGTGAATCCAAATCTCTCCACGTTCGTTCGGGCCCAGCGCATCTCCATCATCGTCGATATTCACCACCTATAACACAAAGAAGATGCATAATATTGCTTAATTATGACTCAATTCATTACTGGCAGAATTTTGAAAATTTAATGGATTCCAGCTTGCCTTGCATTTGACGTGCGGGAAAAGAACACCCAAGCCGTCCTCGTGCCCGATCATAGATTTTCCGAGTGACACCGTCGAACTTACAAATAGCATTTCAGTGCTGCCGTAAACCTATTTCAGATTTATTTGGATAATTCCTCTCAAAACACAAGATAATCAATGAATACTGCATATACATTGTGGTTTTCGTATTTTCGTATATACCTCGGCGATCGGCATCACCAAGTTGGGGAACATTTCTTCCACTGGTCCTCTAGTCATGAGAGGAAGAATCGATGCACCGACCAAACTCATCTTCACGGACGATAAATCGTACTTCATCCACTCTGATTTTTCCAATTTCGCCAAGTATAGCGCGTCCGTGGGATACAAAATAACGCTTGTTACCTTCAATGAGGAAATATCAGTGCTGTAATACAAATGGAATTTCGTAAGCTATAATATAAAGGAAGGATATGATTAAAACGTGCAGGTTTTAAAAATATCAGCAATGATTACAACAAATTCTTCATTAATTTTATTCACTCTTAAAATGTCACGCCTGTACATCCTCCAGAATCTTAACGACGATTTCGATTCAAAACGTTGATGGATTTCACAATAGAAGTCGATTTCAGTACTTCTTTATTCACCTTTTGATAAGCACTTTTTAGTCTTGAAAGAGGCTTGAAAAAAAAATTGTCGAGAAGGTGGGGTAAAATTTTTGAGTCCATGATACTTCGCGAAAAATTGCAAAAAACCATGCATTCTGAATTCACTGATGAATGAAAGCGATTATGAATGTGTTCGATATGTTTCTTCTTTATCCCCCGCCGGTATACATTTATTCGACTAAGAAACAAAGACCAAAAAAACAATGCAGATAGAAATATATTCAAGAAATTTTACACGGAATGATCTGATTCCCAAATTATTTTGTTTCATTTTAAATATACTCTATAAAACATTAAAAACTGAGGTGCCAGTTAAATTCTGACATCAAGCGTGAATAAAATTTATGTTTTTTTTACCTTGTGTCGCTCTATGACTGCTAGCAATTGACTTTCCACATATTTCGTAAACGTGATCAATGTCCCACCAGAGGAAATCGTGCAAAGAGTCATGTAAAAGACTCCTATGTGGCCATGATTTCCCGAAAATGACTTGACGTTGTACACGTCATCTTCGGTGGCAGTGCTACAATGAAATGAAATAAACAACTACATCATCTGGAGATTGATGGATATTCAATCAGCTGCACTGACAACTCTTGAAAATTTGCTGTATATATACGTCGGGATGAAAAAAGGGTCCGTTGATATATAAAATAAAAAAATACCTTCACAGCCTGGAAACTGTTCACGCAAACTCAAGGCTTCGAATTTTCGTCTTCATTTCAAACAAAAATCAGTTCGCATGCTGAAATTCGATCACTTATTTTTGCTGGAATATAACGTGGAACAACGCTAGCGATGAAACTGTTGCTCACCTTAATCTCCATCACTATTAAAAATTGCAGTTGAAAGATAATCTGAAGTATTGTAACAGAATTCAGATAACCAGAAAAAACCAATTATATGCAAATAATGTAATCAATCGTGCTGAAGAGTGTAGCATTATTATTTTTTAAAGAAAGCGTCATTTGATTATAGCTATGGCCACCTAACTGATGCATTTATGGAGGCATGAATTCAGCATCAATCGATAGATAATCGAAAAATTTTGAAATTTTTTCTCATTTTTCAAGGCAGCACTTGAACCGTATCTGAGAACAGTTGAATCTAGTAAACCCTTTAAAATATCTCAATTTTTACTGGGTCATCCCGTTATATTTTAATATTTTGGATATTTCTATGTACTTACACATCAGAATTGTAAGACATTGAGAGCAAGGAAAAATGAGTGTGAGTTGCCGCTTTTGGGGGCCCAGTTGTTCCACTGGTGACAAAAACTGCACAGATGTCACCTGGATCCACTTCTGGAAAAGCTATTCGAAAACACAGGCCGGAGATTAGAAGATAACAAAAATTATCATTTTTCTCCGAATTTAAATCATTTAAAAATTACCATCCTCTTCAACGCTTGACTCTTGCAGAATTTCTTTCACGCTTTTGTATCTCGTGGAATTTCCCCTGACGATGACAATCCCAGGCTTTCCAAGGCATGTTTCGTCAGAAAAGTGTTTTCCCAGACAATTTTCTACTTCGACCAGAACTTGATCATCACAGAAAACTACTGGGACATGTTCCTCTTCTTTCAAGCATCTCTCAAGACCACCTGTGTTAATATCTCAATGCACATTTGAGAGGACGTTGATTTCAAGTTTTAAACTGCGTCATACAAACCGAAAGCTAGCACCGTTGGTATTTGATAAGCAATGGCTCCGAGTGCAAATGTTGCAAAGACAGGAACGTAGTATTGCAAATCGTTTTTTGAGCAGAACAGCACGATTGAACCCTTTTTCACGCCGTATTCCTCTTTCAAAATCCGAGCCATCAATTTTACTTGCCTCAGAAAATCGACGTTTGAAATTTGCTCGTCGGTTGATCCATCAATCTGTTTCGTTGAACAATGATTCATTCCTTTTGTCTCACGAGAAATCATGATATCTATTTCAGAGTGTTGACTTCAAAAGACGTACCCAAAGCGGTTTTTCTCCTTGTTCTGCAATCGCTTTTTCGAGTTTAGCTTTCGTAAAACTCCACAAAGTGGCGTCTCGAGCCAAACCCGGGTCACGTTTAGGCAAAGGACTCGTTAAAATTTTGCAATCCGCCATGCTGGCCAAAAAATGAAAAATAAATGTTTCCCGTCAGTGTTGGCTTTCTGGAGGAAAATAATGAGCCAGAAAATGCAGAAGGTTATTATATTTATACACGATTAAGCATGGATGCGGGTAGTTCATCCATGAGCACACGTGTCGAACTGACACTATTTAATGATTTTAATTCATGAGTGAGGAGCTGAGCCCAGCAACTGGGTGCCGTACAACTGAACGGCGGGCAAGTGAGCCAACTGATTTACTCAATCGGCAAGACTATTACGGAATGTTGATCACAATTCTGCGTCAGGAAAATGGCGTGATCTGTGCAAAAATAAAGTCTCAGATGTGGCAATCAATTGATTTCACTGCCGAAAAAAAAGAATAAATTCAATTGAACTCACTTAGTACAGTATATGGATCTGGCGTTCAGTCCGATGGCGTTCAGTTGGACATTCGCCCCTACCATATTTTCACAGCTGTCTATTTTGTCACCAAATAAGTAGTGAGCACTTATAATCCTCAAAAAATGTGAATGAGTGGAATTTTTGGCAAAAGACTCGTCAATATTTTGCTGTCTGCTGCCATACTAAATAAAAAAAACTAAAATCATGATGTCTTCTTCATTTTGTGTTTTTTCGAGAAACACTCAATTTTTTTTTTTTAGAACGGCACTCATCTTGCACAGGCAGGAAATCCCCTTCACGCTCTGATCTCGATGAGATGCAAGTGTGCAACAATATTGCAGTACTTTTAAGCAGTACTTGCTCTGGTACGTAGCACAATATTTAAGAATGACGTTCACTTTTTAAATGTTCGACTGAGAGTTTACCATGCGGAGATGAAAAATTCAATGCTATTATCTATTACAGTACTACCCATTTGAGATTTCTGGGATGATAGTGTTACATTTCTGAGTACATGATACTGCTACTTGGTGAGATGTCAAATTGTCATGGGAGTGGGACTCACGATGATTTATTTTCGCTTGAAACAGTTTTGAAGCTTCGTTCGTGTTTGAAAATTTTCTCTATACTGTACTGCTGCTTGCCAACGACACTTTTTTTATAATATGTATGTTTGCATGGAAAGACAATTTTTTTGGCATATTTTTGTCTCTCAACTGCGACGTATTAAATGAGTATGGAGATGAATACATTTTCCGTGTACTGGTGAAAGTTTTTTGTTTTTGTTGAAGGAATGACGGGAGTCAGCTTCTGCCAATTTGGAAATTATATTTCTTTCGTCTCCATCCTGCCGAAAGAGTAGAAGGAAATTTTAGATAAATTGAGTGACAACCGTGATATTTTAAAATTATATTAAATAATTTCGAAGTGTTGCCATACTGCTGTCCTTTTTCTTTAATTGCTGGGATGACAATAATCCTCGCATTACTAGCTGTGCGGAAGAAGACACTTGCAAGTTTATTCCCGCCTGGAGTTATTATTGCAGAATTATCTTGCAGACCATTCATACAAATAAAATTATTGCAGGGAATTGGGTGCGTTTTTAAAGAGAATCGAATTTTTCCCTGATGATGGGATCACTGGGAATGCTCAGAAAATACAGTATCACCGCTAAAAACTACTTCAGTATTCTATTTGGTCCGTCATCTATAATGAATTAGAATATTTATTGAACCATGAATCGACATCTGGTTCATCTACAAAATTGCAAAATTTTTCCACCATGGAATTCCTTGAAAAATGAAATAAATGAATAAAAGTTTGCTCGAAACCTCTCCTTTATTCGCTCGTTCAACATCTGGATTTTCAAGACCACCGACATTTCACGAAAATCAAGAGAATTTGTCTGCGGAAAATTTGTTTCTCTCATCTAAACTGCAGGTATGGAGAATATTGTTTCACGGAACACCATGAAGTTCTTGTCTTTTGGCATAATTTTCTCGCAATAATCGTCGGTAGATTTTCCCTCCTGGGTAAGTCACCAGGGTTTCCACGATTTCAGCTCCCCCGCGAATGCATAAGTTTGTATCTTCAGCACGACCTGCGAGTCATTTAACAAATACCAGAGGGATCATAAAGGGGCTTTAAAAATATATAAAACTTTGAAGTAATGTATCCTTTCTTACCCTGAACGAATTTGACGATCTCCTCCGGTTTGACGTCCGCTGAATTTTCCCGCAATACAATGAAAGCTCTGGGAAGTATAGATTTTTCGTTTCCGAACTCCACTCCTGTGACTCCGACTTGTTTAACACTGGGATGCTGAAGGATAATATTTTCGATCTCTGATGGTGATACCTAAAAAAAAAAGAAACGATGTGAAACAGTTTTGAACTAGAGAAAATATTTTGCAATTTTTTGGCGTAATAATGGCCGCTGTCCTTCCCTCACACGCCACATAAAATTAGAGCAAAAAACGTCATGTTGAAGCGCGAAAAAAAAAGAAAAAATTAGAACGGAAACGTGAAGACAGGAAATTTCAAGTTTTAGTCAGCCAATGTAAAGCATTTCGAGAAAATTCGTAGTAGTCAAAAGGAATTGAAAGATGAAGTCAAACAAAACACAACAGCTTTGGCAGCCAGCTATCGACTCAATCAATCGAAAAAGTTAGCCAGAAATATTTCAATCTTTCCGAACACAATAATCCCGGCTTTTCAGAATCAGCTATGTTGAAGTAAGAATACTTTGATGCAATAAAAAACTAATTTATAAAGAAGAAGGAAAACTGTATAAATTTCACGCATTCGGTGGAATTATTATTGACAAACAGTTCCATCTGTGATCGAAAATGGATAAAAAGAACTCACATCCACTCCATTATCCAAACGAATCAAGTCTTTCACACGGTCGACAATATGTAATCGTTTTTTGATGTCGTAAAAGCCGTAATCCCCAGTTTTGTACCAGCCATCAAAAGTGATAGCTGCTGAAGTCAGCTTAAAATACAAGAATTTTAAAATACGTCATACATTTTTCATTGATAAATTAAAATATGATTAAATTACGTCAGGTCGGTTGCGGTAGTCTTTGATGATGAATGGTGTGTGAATCCAGATTTCTCCGCGTTCATCCGGCCCTAGTTCTCCTCCGTCATCAAGGTTGACCACCTGAAATACGTGAATCATTTGAAACTTAATATACTCCGAACGTATTTCAGTGAACATTCCAAGAAGAGCTCACAAGAATATATAAAAAATTTCGCAAAGAAGCGATTATAGAAGAAATTTTTTTCAAGGATAATTTGGAGAAACTCATCCGGGATCATATTAGAAAATTTCTGGGTGCATTAATCAGCAGATTAAAATGAGAAACAGTAAACAACTTCATGATTGAAAAATTCATGCTTTTTTTAAATACTTGCTTTGCATTTGATGTGGGGAAAAATTACGCCTAAGCCGTCTTCGTGTCCGACTGAGGATTTTCCTAATGACACGGTCGAGCAGGTCATTAACATTTCAGTGCTGCCGTATAACTATGCAAAAAACAACAAATAAATTTATGAATCATCAGACCGAATTTCAATGGAGGAATTACATTCTTACTTGTGCTATTGGCATTGCCAGGTTGGGAAACATATTTTCAATCGGTGCTCTGGTCATGGGTTGAAAGATCGATGCGCCCGTCAGAATCATTTTTACAGACGATAAGTCGTACTTACTCCACTCCAATTTATCCAGTTTTGCCAAATAAAGCGAATCCGAAGCATATAGCAAGATGCATGTCGCCTGAATAAAAAAGGAACTTTTTTTCAGAGATCAACGTACATGGTGTCAAAAAATCATGACTTGAAATTATAAATTTACCTTGTATCGCTCGACAGTTGCCAGTAGTTGGTTTTCATCATAATTCGAGAACGTTATCGACGTACCAGCAGTAGAAATGGCGCAAAGAAAGAAGTAAAATGCGCCTATGTGACCTTGATTTCCGTGAAATAATTTTACATTGTACCAGTCATCTTCGGTGCCAGTTCTGCGAAGAAAATAAAATACGATGTCTACCGTTAAATCAAAGTTTAAACATAAGTTCGGCCGATAAATTCGTGATGATGGAAACTAGATCAAGGCCTGGTCGAGATAAAACTTATCGACTGTCAAAATTTCACACAGCAGTGAAGCAACCAATTAAGAGGTGATGGACTTGCTTCATCTTGCAAACACACGAACAAAAAAGAACCCAAGATAATGTAAACGATCGCATATACATTATTCAAATTTAGGGTTACATGATTCTCGGAATATCGAATGAACCACCTCTATAACAATTAATTTTCCTGCGGCAGAGCTTGAAACGATTGACGTTTCAAAATCTTCGTGAAATTTTTTTTTCACAATGATTATCTAACTACTTCTGCACTTTCTTTGTACATATTTTGCATATTATTAAGAGGTCGCCAAAGAAAATAGTCTTGTTTGCTAAAAGTACATCATGGACTTGAGTTTAAATGAAATAAAACTGGATATGGAAAAAAATTTCTACGGTTAAATCTTACATGTCGGAATTGTAAGTCGCCGAGAGCAAGGAATAATGCGTGTGAGCAGCTGATTTCGGAGGACCCGTTGTTCCGCTGGTGACGAAAATTGCGCAGACATCTCGAGGATTGAGCTCAGGAAAAACTAAATAGCATAGTAACAATTTTCAAAAAAATAAATAAACAAATTTCGTTTGATCAAAATAATGATTTAACCTATATCGTCAGGTCCCGTCTCTTGCAGCAGCTCCCTTAATTTTTTGTACTTCGTACTGCGTCCGGCAACAATGACAATCTTTGATTTTTCCGGGGATTCATCGTCAGGAAAGTGATTTTCCAAGCATTTTTCTACATCGGGCAAAATCTGATCGTCGCAGAAAATCACCGGGACATGTTTTTCTTCCGACAAGCATCTCTCGACTCCGTCTGAAATTTGATCCGCGATGCGTCAGGATAACTCAAACAAAACAAAGGCCTTACGGATGTATAAGATGTACACACCGACAGCCAGCACAGTCGGTATTTGGTAAGCAATGGCACCGAGGGCAAATGTGGCATAGACCGGAATGTAGTATTGCAAATCATTTTTTGAACAGAAGAGCACAACGGAGCCCCTTTTCACGCCGAATTCTTCTCTGAGAATCCGAGCTATTGATTTCGTCCGCCTAAGGAACTCGACGTTTGAAATCTGCTCGTCTGTCGAACCATCGATCTGTTTCGATCACCGTACAGTACAAAGAATCAATTTTTGTTGTCTTTGAAAGCATTAAAATAAATCGAGAAAATCGGAGATGAAGCAATCTCCAAAAATTATTTACCCAAAGAGGTTTTTCTCCTTGATCGGCGATGGTCTTCTTGATTTTCGACTCCGCGAAACTCCAAAAACTCGCGTCTCGAGCCAAACCCGGGTCACGTTTCGGCAAAGGACTCGTTATAATTTTGCAGTCCGTCATGCTGGCCAAAATATAAAAAAAAAGTTTCCCTTCTGTGTTGGATTTCTGGAGGGAAATAATAAGCCAGAAAATGTAGAAGGTTATTATATACACAATTAAGCATGGATTCGGAAAGTTCATCCACAAGCGCACGTATCGAACTGACACTGTTGAATCCATGAGTGAGGAGCCGAGACCAGCAACTGGGTGCCTTACAACTGAACGGCAGACAATGAGCCAACTGATCTACTCGATCGGCAGACTATATGACAGAATGTTGATATAAATTCCACGACAGGAAAATTGCTTTATTCTTGAAAAAAGCATCAGATGTGGATTTCGCTGCCGCACAAACAAAACAAGAAAATTCTCGCAAACTCACTCAGTACGGTTTGGTTCGATGGCGTTCAGTTGGGCAGCCACCCTTACCACATTTTCACAGATGTTGAAGTCACTAAGTGAGCACCTATCTATACTGATGTGGATTAATGGAATTTTTAAATGTTTACAACTTTACACCCTTGTTGAGAAAATATCCCTACATGTGGCCCTCTGTCAAGGCGAATGACTTGCAGCCAGTTATAAGACCCGCATAAACGCCCTAAAAAAATTCCGCGATTGGAAAGAGATTGAAAGATCAATGAATAAAAATTTATTTCAGACGGAATGATACATTATGATGAGGATGGTCACGCATGAAACGATTTCTACATTCGACAAGCACAATGTCGAGATAATTTAATCATCCTCGTGCAAAATAATTCTGCTTTGGATCGCTTGCCAAAATTTTCATTTTCCAGGAAGTGTGCGTACAAAAAAATTCTTTTAAAAATCACTTCAAGTAATTTCCAAGTTTTCCGAAATTGTTTAGACAAGAACTGGCACATTTTTTACGTAAAGCCCAAAAAAATACATACTACAAATACAACTCTCAAATATCAAGCAGAAATGATAAACTTGAAACATGTAGGCTCCTGCTGCTGGTAAACTCCCAGAATGAAACAAAACAGCTTTTGAAACCCACACCCGTCGCAGGGATTAAATTCGTTTCTGGGTGCTGGGGAACGTTTATTACTGGATTACACATGACATAGCACATACAAGGTCATCACCGAAAACCCCAATAAACAATTACCGTTGAACGCGACATGTGCTTCGTATCGAATGTCATATACTGTACATATTTCTTCGAATAACTGTTGATGAGAACCGACGTTCGCGCTTTGCATTATTGGAAGAACTCAACAGCGCATTTTTTCTTCTTTTCATTCGGTGATCTGCTAAAATTATTTTAAATAAAATAGTCTGTGATGTTGTACGATTCCGAGTTTTTGCCTCAAACGCGCATTTGTTGCCGGTTGCTAAAATCCTCCCTCAGCTTGATTCTGTAAATCTTTCCAGCTGGACTCGTCACCAAACTGTCGACGAACTCGGCTCCTCCAGTTATGTGCAGCAGGACATTTTTCGCTCGATCTTCAGACGATTATAAAAACAAATGTTTGATAAACATTTACTCAACTGAAAACCGCCTTTGGAAAACGTAGAATACGGAGATAATATCCACTGGCGCAGTCTTCACGGGAAATTTTCTTGCAATTATAGCTACACAACGACTCGAAGAATTAATTTTGTAAATTCGTGAAAATATCCTCGATTTCCGCGTACAGTATTTCGATTTGAACAACATGAAAGCATGTTTTCAAAATTCTTAAAATTTTCACAGGTTTCATGCATTTCCTGTTTTTATCCACGTTTAAAGGATTTATTCATACTAGGACAATCAATGATCTTCGTGACCCAGGCTGTTTTTTCACTAGCTTATTGACTTTGCTGCCCAAAACCAGGATGTGGCGTGTATACTGTACTCAAATGCGGATCATCATCACGAAAATACATTCGCCATCGATGAATCATAAAATGAGAGCAGAATTTAACTGTACTTACTTTGAACAAAATTGATAATATCCTCGGTTTTCACTTCGGGGGCGTCTTTCTTCAACACCACAAACGCTCGAGGTTTAGTGGACAAATCATTCCCGGTTTTCACACCAGTTACGCCAACTTGAAATACCCAATCGTGTTGCAGGATGACGTCCTCGATTTCAGAAGGAGATAGCTGAATGGAGAATGTGGAGATGCAGATTGAATTATTACAGTCATTCCGTTGGAAAAAAAGGATTCAACCAATACATAAATATATTCAGATAAGCCTACAAATCAAGAACAAATTATGCACAGAGAAATATCTCCAGTGACGAATTCTCTCAGATAATGTACCCAGTCACATTGTAGCACACGCCCAAATTATAAATACAGGACTTGAATCTTCTGACCGAATATTCCATAAATATTTACGAGATGAAGCTACTTAATCCCGAAAATTTGGAATTACGTCAATGCCTCTCGCAGCCGTTGCAGGAGGCATTAAAATGCATAAGATTGAGAATTGCACGATAATATGCAGAATCAACACAATGGGATCGAAATCTGGGATTTCTCCAGGACCTGGGAGAAGTAGCATCTTGCAAAGATTCATCAATGTAGTTTATCACTTTCATGATTCATGAGTTTATCGAAGTAAGAGCATCAGTCTATATGGATATTTATTGCTTCCACCTAGAAAAGAAGGCTTAATTCCGAGTAAAACTATGTTAAAGATCGTGCAAATTCAAATCCTAAAAATAATTACCGATGCTTTAAGCATTTATATGTGGGTTTATTTTTAATAAGTGTTTTTTTACAAGATTCGCGTCCTGTATCTGTTGCTATACTATATATTCTACGAGCTTGCAAAAGCGATCATTACCAAGAGACTCAGAGGGAAAAAAAGTCCGAAACTCAGACTTTTACTGTCTGAAACTTACGATTTCTCCACTGGAGAGATGGATCAGATCTTTAACCCTATCGACGATGTGCAGATGTTGATTGTTGTCGTAGTAACCGTAATCCCCAGTTTTGTACCATCCGTCGGGTGTCACCGCGTTCTCCGTCAACTGCAAAGAACGTCTTTCAATTTACTATTCAAATGAAATTTTATTTTGCATTAATTGTAGTTTAAAAAAAAGAAGAGAAAATGCATTATCTCACGTCCGGGCGATTCCGGTAGTTCTTCATCAGAAAAGGAGTGTGAATCCAAAACTCTCCACGCTCGTTCGGTCCCAACGCCCTGTTATCCTCCAAGCTCACAACCTTGAAAATAAATACAGGCCCTCCAATTTTATTTTGTATTGTAAAGGAAAAAAACATGATGCATCAAAATTCACAAATTTTTGACACATTATTTTTCGGAAGTGCCTAACTGCTCACAAGTACTTTGGGATCATTTTAAACACTCGTTCAATTTGCTTCAGAAAATGTGGACTCTCTCCACAGTCCGCAAAGATTTTCTCTGTAAAACGATTTTTTTTATCCCATAACGTTAACTCTCCGTGTTACAGTTCTCGACAACGAAATTCTTTCCACGACATTTTTTCTTATGGTCCCTTTAAATTCGTCGTAAAGAGACGGGGTCCACCTGTATTGGCAGAATGAGCGAACTTTCTTTCACATACCTTGCATTTCGTATATGGATTCAGCACTCCGATCCCAGCTTCCGTTTCGGGGCACATTAGCGAATTCGAGGTGATGGCCAGTAGCATTTCTGTGCTACCATATATCTAAGAGAAAATATATACAATTTATATTTTCTCGCTTTTTATCATGCATCTGGTATTTATGATAGCACGTAGACTATTAGAGCTGCATCGTTGCATTCTAAAAGTTGGAAAGTTCTTCAAATGCTTACAATTTCAAGAATTTTGAATATTCAATTGTTTGAAGAATACATTTTTGTTGATTATGAGAGATCTAAATGAAAAATCAGCCGTAGCAAGAGAACGGCAGCATTTGAAATGCTAAAAAAATTAACGAAGGGGCCACAAGAGCTTTTTTTCCCTTCGCACAATTTCTCACTTATTACTTGATTAAGAAGATATGCTTATAAGTGGCTGGCGTAGATAAAATCTGACCCATTTCCGACAGGAAATCTCCTTCAGAGATCGTTCACAATACAAATGTCTACAGTACTTGCTTTCTCTTGAGCTTGTCTCAATTCAGTGCATCCAAAAACCCCTTGCCAATAGTCATATCGTTTAAAGGGAACATTTCTCGCACACCGATTAAGAAGAAGGTTCAAGTATGGTTGTAGCTTATACAGTATATTATGAATTTATGTAATTTTAAAATACCTATGGAAGTTAATTTTTTTTTCGAATTTAGAGGAAGGATCATAACCTGTCCAATTGGTCGACTAAGATTCGGAAACATTTTCCTCATGGCTCTGACGGTTGACGGTGGCAACATGGAAGCTCCTGCACAGAACTTCGTCACACAAGACAAGTCGTACATGGACCAGTCGTCCACTTTTGCCAAATACATGGCATCGTTTGGGTACATAACCATGTAGTTTACCTGTACGAAAGAAACCCCAAAACAGCAATACA